GTGCTGAGGATCCAGCCCATGTACTAGGCAAGCCTCACACGTACTCGGCGAGCGCTCTACAACCCCAGCCCCTTAAAGTCACTTTTAATAGTTTGTTCTTTGTAAGGAAGTATATTTTTCAATTTTATCAACCAGGTTTTGTATGTCTTATTTACTTATGTGCCAGCCCGAGGAAAACACATGGCATATGAAAAAGCACATTGAGAATTTGTATTGGTTGGACCTAGAAATGGCATGCCTTCTCTCATTCATATTCCATAAGCTAGAACTTAGTAACATGGTCAAGAGAGGCTAAAAATATAAGTGACTCCTAGAACATAGTAAACTTGGGTATCAAAGAATTAAGGGGCCGGCTGGGGATGTGGCTCAAGCGGTAGCGAGCTCGCCTGGCATATGTGTGGCCCAGGTTCAATCCTCAGCACCACATACAAAGATGTTGTGTCCGCTGAAAACTAAAAAATAAATATTAAAAAAAAATTCTCTCTCTCTCTCTCTCTCTCTTTAAAAAAAAAAGAAGGGGATAGAGAGGGAGTCAAGGACATTTTTATATTGCTATCTTCCTAGAATTCTTGGTTATTTCTTTATATGAATGAAAAGTTATATACTGTAAGTACATGTTTACTTGGGGAAAAAAAATGGAGGCTGTATGTTCTATAACAATTCAGGTGAAGTTTGGATAGTGGGGAGAGTTTTATAGAAGAAGTATAGATTTTTAGTTGAGCTTAAATTTAGAACAGGATTTAGTGGTTGGTAGAACATGTGCTTAATATGAACAAGGCCCTGGGTTCAAACCTCAGCACTAAAAACCAACCAAACAAAAAACACAATTAAAAAAAACAAATAAAAGTCAGATATGGAATTGCTGTTTTCTCTCATATTGTTTTCATGTGTACGGGTGTGTTTGAGAGTGCATTAGGGATCAAACCCAGGGCTTCACGCTTGCTAAGCAAATGATCTACCCCTGAGCCATAAGCCTACTCCTGTTTTACCTTCTTGATAGTGTTGTTTAATTAAAAAAAAAAAATCGGTTTTGATTGTCTCATTTATCCAGTTTTTCTTTTGTTGCCTGTGCTTTTTTAAAATATCATATCAAGGATGTAATGGCTGCATCTAGTGTTGTAAAAATCTTCCTGTATTTTTGTTTTTGGAGTTTTATAGTTTAAGTTGTGAAGTTTACATCTTTGCATTTTGATTTGACTTATGTTTTGTATATGATGTAAGTGGAGGACCCAACTTCATATTTTGACCTGCATGCATACATTTTTCCTAGTACCTTTTTTTTTTTTTTAAACTGTCCTTTTTCCAATGAGTGAAGGTCTTAGCACACTTGTCAAGAATTTTTTGGCCATGTGTGTGAGAGTTTTTTTCCTAAACGTTTTATTCTATTCCATTTTTCCTTATGTCTGTTCTTAGGCTGGGATTACATTATTTTATATTATTGTAGCTTTGTAATAAGTTTCGAAATCGGTAAGATAGAATAAAGTCCTACAACTTTTTTTTATTCAGGATTATTTTGGCTATTCAGAGTCACTTGAGATTTCATATGAATTTTAGGGTGGCTTTTCTATTTCTGCAAAACATTTTTATGAGATTTTGATAGAGATTGTGTGGAATCTGTAGATTGCTTTGGGAATTATTGGTACATTAACAATCCATGTACATGGGATGTCTTTGCATTTATTTTTTTGTTAATTTTTTTCAGCAACGTATTTTAGTTTTCATTATAAGAGTGTCATCTCTTTGGTTAATTCCTAAGTATTTTATTCTTTTTTTATGCTATTGTAAATGGAATTGGTTTTTTTATTTCCTTTGCAAATTTTTCTTTGCTAATTTGTAAAATCCAACTGATTTTTGTGTATTCATTTTGTTTTCTACAACTCTAGTCAAATTTGTGTATGAGCTCTAAAAACTTACAAAAAAAAAATCTTTATTTATTTATTTTTTTGGTAGTCCTGGGTCTAAGCCCCAGGCCTTGCATGTGCTAGGAAAGTACTCTGCTGCTAAGTTAAATTCCTAGTTCTTCCTTTTTGTGGGGGTCGGGCAGTACAGGGGATTGAACTCAGGGGCACTTGACTAGTGAGCCGCATCCCCAGCCTTATTTTGTATTTTATTTAGAGACAGGATCTTGCTGAGTTGCTTAGCATCTCACTTTTGCTGAAACTGGCCTTGAATTCAAGATTCTCCTGCTTCAGCCTCCCAAACCCCTGGGATTACAGGCTTGCACCACTGCACCTGGCTCCTTCATATTTTTTTTAATTTTGAGACAGGGTCTTACTAAGTTGCCCAGGCTATCCTTGAACTTGTGATTGCCCTGCCTCCCCTCCTGGGTAGCTGGAATTACAGGCCTGCAGCACCATGAGGAGGTGTATATGAAATCTTTAGGGATTTCCATGTATGTTATTTTGTCATTTGTAAGCAGGGTTAACTTACTCTGATGAATAGAAGTGGCAAAAGTGGGGCATCCTAATCTTTATTTTATTTATTGCTGATCTTTGGGGAAAAGCTTTTAGTCTTTTACCATTGAGTATGTTGTTATTGATTTTTTTTTTTTTTTTTAAAACCATATGGCCTTTATCATGTTGAAGACATTTCCTTCTATTCCTAGCTTGGGTGTTTTTTAAATCATGAAAAGGTGTTGAGTCTTATCAATTGCTGTTTATGTCTTAATTGAGATGATAATGTAGGAATTTCCTTCATTTTATTAATGTGGAATATCACATAGATTGATTTTCATTGTTAAACCATCCTTTTGCTCCAGAAATAAGTCTCACTTGGCATATGATGTTTTTAAAAAGCTACTGAATTTTATTTGCTACTTTTTTTGACCACTTTTTTCATTGATGTTCTTCAAGGTTGCTCCTCTGTTGTTTTCTTTCAATGTCTTTGGCTTAGGCATGAGGGTAATGCTGATCTCAGAATGGGTTAGGAAGTGTTCCCTCCACTTTAATTTTTTGAAAGTACTTGAGAAGTGTTGGTGCTAATCCTTTAAGTGTACTGTAGAATTCACCAGTGAATTCATCTGGTCCTGAACTTTTCTTTTTTTAAAATTTTTTAACATTTATTTTTTATTTTAGTTTTCGGTGGACACAACATCTTTGTTTGTATGTGGTGCTGAGGATTGAACCAGGGCCGCGTGCATGCCAGGCGAGTGCGCTAGCGCTTGAGCTACATCCCCCAGCCCTGGTCCTGAACTTTTCTTAACTGGGGAGGAGACTAACTATTAGTCTCCCTAATAGTTCTAGTCATATTTTTTATTTATGAGTCATTTTTGTTAGATCGTGTATTTCTAGGAATTTTGTCCATTTTGTTCACATTATCCAATCTGTTGATGTACAATTTGTTGTATTACCCTTTTAAAATTTTTATAAAATCAGTAAGTAATGCCATTACATTCATATCTGGCTTCAGTAATTTTAGCCTGCCCTTATTTTTTCCTAATCATACTAAAATTTTGTCAATTTTATTTTATTTCAAAGAATGAGCTTTTGGCTTTGTTGTTTTTTCTCTGTTCTCTGTTCAAATTATCTTTTTGCTGATCTCTATTATTTCCTTTTTTCTGCTAGCTTTTTATTATTTTTCAAATTCCTTAAGATAATTGATTTGAGAGCAGAGTTTTAAAATGTGTTCACAGCTGTAGTTTTCCCTCTTACCATTACTTTCACTGCATCCTCTAAGTTTTAGTATGTTGTGCTTTATTTTTATTTGTCTCAAGATATTTTCCAATTTCCTTTTTCTTGGGTTTTTTTCTTTGATACATTTATTGTTTAAGATTGTGTTAATTTTCACGTTTTTGTGAATTTTCTAATCTTCCATTTACTGTTAGTTTCCAGTTTCATTTCCTTATTATGAGATAAGACACCTTGTATAATTTCTTTTTCTTTGAATGTATTTAAGGTTTGTTTGGGCTGGATTCAGGCCTATATTCCTGGCTACTCAGGAGATTGAGACAAGAAGATTCCGAGTTCAAAGCCAGCCTCGTTAAGTTAGTGAGACCCAGGCTGGGGCTGGGGCTCAGTGGCAGAGTGCTTGCCTAACATGGGTGAGTCACTGGGTTCAGTCCTTAGCACTGCATACAAAAATAAGCAAATAAAACAGAGGCATGCTGAGTATCTATAAGCACAAAAAAGAAAAAAAAAAAGTTAGTGAGTCCCTGTCTCAAAATAAAAAATAAAGGAGTGGGGGATGTAGCTCCATGGTGAAGTGCCTCTCGGTTCAATCTCCAGAACAAGAATAAAACAAAACAACAAAAAATATTTGGTGGACTAACATATGGTTCATTTTGGAACATGTTCCACATACACTGAGAAGAATGTGTATTTTGCTGGTGTTGGGTGAATTTAGCTTTTGATATGTTATGTCTGAGAATATGTGTAGGTGGAAATGTGAAATTTTCACTTAAGAGAAAAGTTAAGGATGAGATTATCAATGAACTACAAAGAGGTGTTGAGTTCATAAAAGGATAATTTTTTTTGGGGGGGTAGATAGGATTTAGAGTAACAGTGTAGCCTTGGGTATATTCTTATTTAGAAGGCTAAAAGGTTGAATATTGTCTGGAGTATTAGAAAAGGATGGAGCAATTTGATATTTACCAATAAAATATTTAGACATTGAAGATAATATCAAAAGGAAGATATGGTCAGCTGAATTCAGTGCTGAGTTCAGATATTTGGGAAGGATTCTTTCTTCTTCCCTTCCACCTTCCCTCCAAGATCTTGTGTAAACACATTACCACTGAACCACATTCCCAACCCAGGACTGTTTTTTTAATACTCCTATAATAATTGGATAGAGAAAGACAAGAGGAATTTTTTTTTTAATTTGAGGAAATTATTTAAAGAGTTAAATAATGACAACCACTTAAATTATAAAATTGAAAACCAAAATATAAATGAGACATTTTTATGGTATAAATATTAGAGGCCGTTAATTTGTTACTTTGTTGTATAAATATGAAATAAAAGAAACTTCATATTATCTTATTGCTCTATTTGAATTTGTAGAAATTATTTCTGGACAGTCTACGAAAAGCACTTGCTGGCCATGGAGGAAGCAGGCAGCTGACAGAGAGTGCTGCAATTGCTTGTGTCAAATTGTGTAAAGCAAGTACTTACATCAATTGGGAAGACAACTCTGTCATTTTCCTACTGGTTCAGTCCATGGTGGTTGATCTTAAGGTATCATGCTTATTCTTTCTCTTCTGTAATTTTACGAGAATAAAATTCTAGTAGAGGTATTATGAGCAAAGATAAATGCTCCAAATACTAAAGTTTGGAGTCACCTGTGGTAATAAGTTTATAGGTCCTACTTTGTCATTATGTTCATCAGCCTAGATTGAGATTATGAAGAACAATGGAGTTAATCAGTTTTTTAAAGTTAACATAAATATACAGACTTGGGTTTAAGATAATGTAGAAATTTGGACCAGATAGGAACCATATGTGGTATAGTAAGATTTATATCAGATGAGTGAACCACAGTATTAGTGATTTATTCTTTTTCTGGCAATTGAAATTCCCTGTCATCTATGTGGATAATGTTGATTAGTAATAATACTATTAAAAGGCCTTTGTTTTCTATTGGGGTTTTTATAGAACCTGCTTTTTAATCCAAGTAAACCATTCTCAAGAGGCAGTCAGCCTGCAGACGTGGATCTAATGATTGATTGCCTTGTTTCTTGCTTTCGTATAAGCCCTCATAACAACCAACACTTTAAGGTAAGAGCACTGATTTTTATCCACCTATGCTTACTGATGCTAATATTTTCCTTTTTAAATGTGAAAAGACTGGAAAAATAAATAGGTATATAGTTTTATCACTGTTTCTTAACATTATATGTTGATGTGAACTTGAAGACCTTAAAAAGTTATCTATTTTTAATAAATTTTATTTTTGCTATTGTTTTGTCTTATTTTGTATTACTGGATATTTTTCTCCTAGAAATGATCTTTTCTTTTTTCTATAGATCTGCCTGGCTCAGAATTCACCTTCTACATTTCACTATGTACTAGTAAATTCACTCCATCGAATCATCACCAATGTAAGTCCAAAAGGTATTGCTAAATTACTTAAAACATTTTTTTCTTTTCTTTTTTGGTGTAATCCTTCTTTCTTTTTGCCCGTTTAAAGAAAGATGTTCTTGCCAGATGTGGTGGCACATGCCCGTAATCCTAGCTACTTTGGAGGCTTGAGACAGGAGAATCACAAGTTTAAATTAAATTTTTAAATTTAAAATTTAAAAAACAGCTGGAGATGTGGTTCAGTGGTAGGGCTCTTGGGATTCAATCTCCAGGACCAAAAATAAACAAACAACAAATAAATAAATAAATGAAAGAAAGAAAGAAAGATGCTGTTGGTTTTCACAAAGGTTCTCAATGTAGGTGATATGTTGTAAGAAGATTACTCTGAAGTGATTATGTCTAGTAATTTATATACAGTTGTATTTTTCATATTTAATCTTGATCTGAGGGCCCTTATTGAGAAAGATGAAGTTATGAGAATCTTTTGGAAAAAAGAGTAAACCTAAAACATGTTACTTAAATCAAAAGCCTTTCAGAATAATGTCATTGAAAATATAATTGAGCATTTTCATTCAAAAACTCTTCATGTATTATTTGAATACTCTTAGCTCTTTTTCAGTATTTGGTATATTTTGATTTATCACCTTACCAATTAAGTTAAAAGTAATATTGCTTATGTTGTATCCAGTATGGCACATTTATGAAATGATAAGATTATATTTGCACATTTTAGTCCTTCTTAAGTAAATGAAGTATTAATATGCTGTACAAGAGATATTCATAAGATAAAGCAAGTGAATTCATAAAAAGGTATTTGTGATGTGGGAACATTAAATAGATGGTGAAACCTTATTTTATTTGGACAATGGATTTTTCAAATTCTATTCATCTAATTTTGAAATCTTGAATTTTGAAGGTTCTCAGGTATTTACCTTCACAGTTCCTCTTTTATCCATTGATAGATATTTACACTTACTGGTCAACTTGTTCCAGTTTTCTTCCCCTCAAAAGGCTGCAGTCATTGATAACTTAGTGTATTTGTCCTATTTACAAAATACATTTCAAGACTTTCGGTGAGTTAAAAATCATTTGCTTTGAATATATTGAATTAACTAAATGTGGCCTATATTTTCTTTTAGACATTTCTGCAGGGGAAAAAATAAGTAATGGTAAAGCTAGTTAACAATACATTTAGTTTTTCTTGATGGAGTGTTGGTAGCATTTTTGGGAGAACAGTTCTTTGTTATACAGGACTCCTTGTGCATTCCAAGACATTTAGCATCTCTAGCCCTCATTTCATTAAAACCAGTTATTTCGCGTCTTCTGCATTATGAACAAGAATGTCTGAAAGAATGACACCTCTCTCAGTTGAGTATCACAGATGGAAATAACATTGAATACTCTTTGTTCCAAAAGGGAAGGCTTAATTAATCTGACTGTAGACAAGGTATGTTTGTATTAAAAACTTTAAAAAATTACTGTACTATTGCCAGTGCAATAGCCAGGACTTTTTAACCTTAAAGTTGACTTTCAGTGTCATTTAAGAAAAAAAAAAATTCTTTCTCTACCTCCAACCTCAAGTTTTATGCGTGACCAGAAACAAAATATTCCTTTATTGCTTTTGGCTCATAATACTAAAAATAGTTCATTTGTTAGAGTGGATAGTTTATATAAATGCTTAAAATTTGAATTTAATAAACCCAAGTGTATATGTGTATGTGTTCATGCCTGCCTGTGCGTAGGTACACACACACACACACACACACGCACGCCCACACCCACACACACACACACATACTCCCTCTCTCTCTCTCTTTTTGATACTCTGTGGCTAGTTACTTTAATTGTGAAATATTTTTGTCTACAATTGAATATATAGAGCACTTTCAAGCATGGACTTGGCACTGCTGTAAGTGGCTGAGCTGCTCTTTTCTGGGTTTTAAAGCATGCTTGGAGTGGTACTTCATGCATGCCTCAGTGTACTTGGTGAAAGTGATTGTGCATCCTATACTTTAATGAGTATTGCATGTGTGAGGTGGAGTGTGTCTATATCTGAGGTCAAGTTACTATGGATATATTTTTATAAAGAAAAATTATTGATTAGTTTTTAAATATTAAGCATCAATGAAATTGCTTGAAAAATAACAAATAGAACTCCAAAGTGTCTTTAAATTTAGAGAGGGACACTTTGTCTTTAAAGATTGGTACATTGGTTCTTCTTAAGGCTCTTTGGTTTGAGGGTAATAGTATAAAATTCTTTCTGGTGGAGAAGGAAATATGAAAATTTACAAAATTGACTATTATAGTCTCACCAAAGTATGTTATTAGGCATATATTTTACTTCTTGAATTCATGTGAAATTTTTCTAGCTATTTGGACTCCTGATCCTAAATTGATTCATAATTTCCTTTTAAATGATTCCTGGCTCAATACACTTTATAAGTTCACTTCCATGGTTCTTAGATAGTTTACAAAATTATCACATTTTCAAATAAAAGTTTTGTGTAGAAGTAGTAATGGTGTTTGGAGTTTTGTTTTGCTTCTGTGAACTATACACACAATTCTTAAGCACTGTTTAGATGTGAAAAAAAAAAACCCAAAAAACTCCCCCCACAGTTTCTTAGAAAATTTTAAAGTCGATTCACTATTTGAATTTTATTGCAATACAAGTTTTTCAACAGTCTCTAAAATGGTACTTATTATACTGTCACCTTTTTTATTGTGATATGCCATAACAGGTGAATTAGTTTTAAGATCTGAGTTACGTACTTTATAGGTTTCTTTTATGTTAAATTACATATGTTATTGGGAAATTTAAAAAGTAGTATTCCCGTATATGAACCATTTCTGTCAGTTATCACTGGGACAGGCAGTTGCTAGTATAGTACTTTATTTGATCTCTGCTGAGATCATCGTTAGATGATTTATTTCTGAGGTATTCAAAAATCATTTAAATTGTTTCTTGAGAAATTGCCACATAATTTTCTCATTATATAAGTATTACATGTTTTCGGCAATGAACAATATTTTTAAGGAAAAAAGAATGTCTGTATTAATTGACTAGTTTCAGAAAGAAGATGGAGTCACTGCTCAAAATACTAATTTTTTAAATTCTATAATGTCTAATTTTTAGTGCCTATTTTATTCAAAGTGTATCTTTTACTTTAAAATGAATGAAATAGTTTTATTATGAAAAATGAAAAGTATGAAAATTACCAAAACTTCAGCCTTAAAACTATTTTCTAGGGTATATACCTAGTACTGCAATATAGTTTGAACAGCTATGAAAAATAACATAGTAATTTGGATAGAATGTTATTATGGAATACATATCTCTTTAGTTTCAGTTATTGGCAATATTTTTATGGGACCTGGGGTGAAGAGGACCCTTTACTCATTGCACTTTGTCATCATTCGGTGTTTTGTTGCTTTAAGCTGATTAACTTAAACTGTTTGAATTAGTTAATATCTGTAAATTAAGTTTCATTACTTGCTTTGGGCAAGTTAGATGACTAAATTGCTCTAAATTTGAGAACTCCATTATATTACCAACTAAAAAACTGCTTATTTACAGAAATGAGCTTAAACAAAGAAAGAAGTGAGGGAAGAATATATGCAACCATTATTAAAAAAAAAAAAAAAAGCCAAGGGAGGTGGTACACGCCTGTAATCCCAGCACCTCAGGAGGCTGAGACAGAAGGATTACAAATTCAAGGCTAGCATAGGCAATTTAGTGAAACCTTGTCTCAAAAATAAAAGGGACTGTACATGTACTTCAGTAGTAGAGTGACCCTGGGTCAATCCTCAGTACCTACCCCTCCAAACTACTACTACTACTAATAATAATAATTTAAAAAAAGAAATAACAACAACAAAACCAAAAAACTTTCTTCACAGTTTTGTAATCCCTTTGTGAGTGGAGTTCAGTATTCATATTTTATATCATAAATTGGTGTTATATTTTACTGTCCAGTAAATAGAATTGTAATTTGTAGTTTTGGTTAAGGTTAACATAACTTGATGCTAATCAAGATATTCTGAGAATTACAAGTGAAGAATTTCAGTGTTGAGACTTTAAGGATGTAAAGCTCTAATCTCCCTTATTTACTATTTGAATATATTATCATTCTTCCATTGTTTTTTCAAACTAGAGCTTAAAAGTTAGTTTATCTGTATCTGTCTGTTTGTCTATCCCTGTGTGTGTGTGTCTGTCTGTCTGTCTCTGTGTCTGTGTGTTGTCTCCCCCCACCCCGCCCCCAACACCTTGGTAGTGGGGATTGAACCCAGGGATACTCTAAATTGAACTCAACAAGTTGCGCAAAGCCTCCCAAGTCACTGGGCTTTAGGCTTTAGGCATGCACCACCATGTTTGGCTAGGCTAAAAGTCAGTATTTTAAGTCATACTGTTTCATACATGTTCCTCATATGTAATGAAAATTCATCCAGTCATTTTTCTAATTTAGTGATTTTCATAATTGTCATTTTTATAATATATCAATTCATTTTAAAGTAAAAATCAAGAGATATACTTTCAAATAAAATAGACATTAAAAACTAGACATCAAAGCCAGATAGATTAAATAAATAGAAAAAAATATCTACATAAAGCAACTCTTTTAAAGAAACTTAGCTAGGATCAGTTTGTCTTTGTTTATGGTGATTGTTAGTTGTTCATGTGCTGTGTCACCATTGCATATCAGTTTAAGATTGTAGGTTTATTAATGGCTTTATGTTATTTACTAATTTTATGTTGTAATTATTATTTGTAATGGTTTTTACCACATAGTCTTCAACATTGTGTTGAACCACTAATCTCTTTTAACTCTGGGAAAAATTTATACAATATATGCATGTATTTCTGAAGTGTATAAAATGTTAAACTTTGTAAAATAAATAAGATTGGCTACAGAATTGGTTCTCTAAAAATTTTCAAATTCATTTGGTTTTCAGTGAAAAAAAAACAGTATCTGTGTACATGCTCATTATTATATTTAAAAACATGTAGATTAGTGTTTGAGTTAAAGATATTATTTCAAAACTTTGAAAATCATGACATATGTTTGCATGACAGTTTTCAATGAAAGGATAACACTTAAAGGGATAACAGAGTATACAACTCATGTAATTTTATACCTTTTCTTCCTTATGGTCTTTGTTTTTCTCTAGTCTGCATTAGATTGGTGGCCCAAAATTGATGCTGTATATTGTCACTCAGTTGAACTTCGAAACATGTTTGGTGAAACACTTCATAAAGCAGTGCAGGGTTGTGGAGCACACCCAGCAATACGAATGGCACCGGTAAGAAGTCATGAATTTTGAATTCCAACTCCTTTCTGTTTCAATTTTAGTGTCTTTATTTCATTCCTTCTGTTTTGATTATTTTAGAGAATTGAATGGGTCCCTCCTTTTCTATAAGTGTTGTACAATGTTTTCATTGCAGTATTATTGAATACTTGTTAATAAATGTTTATTTTTCACTGTTTCAGTTAGGTGAACCTTTTCTCCTTTGTGTTTAGTTTTGTTCCCTCTTAACTTTTTGTTTTTTCTTTTTTCTTTTCCTTTAAGTCTTATGAACCAAAGAATTTTGATTAGCTTCTTACTTTATGAAAACAAGTAAGGGAAGGTGACTCGTGGGTTAGAATTAATGTTTGGCATTCATCCTGAATATTTTGCATAAGAAATTAGAAATAAAATTAAACTTTTTAATTTAAAATAAATATATTTTATTTGTTAGCAAATATACTTTGAACATTTGTAAATGATAGGCATTTTGATACTGACGTTCCATTATGTTTAAATTTAATAAAAGCGGACATCTCAAATTAGTCTAAGAGATTATTATTCTTATGGAATTGTAAAACTCAGTGAATCAATAAAAACAGTTAATTATAGAATTGGTAAGTCATTTCTTGGTATTTATGTAGAACACAAGGGCATTGTACATGGCAACTCTTGACATTGATTGATGATGCTTTGTCTTCTGCTTATTTTCTATTCTTATTGGCTGCTGTTGATCACATGATCAGATGCCAATCAGTCACTGTTTTGCATGGCAGTGGGCTTCTGTGGCTTTAAGTATGACCCATTTTGTAACTACCTCAGAAAAGTCTTGGATTTTTTTTTTTTTTTTTTACTTTTCTGTATATAGTTACCTTTATAGTCACATCATGTCATTTTAAATGAAAATATAACATGTTTTCAACCTATTGATTTTACCTAGTAAATTAGCCATCTCCATTTAAAATTTAAACAGCTTTCTCCCTGGCATGCTTCTCTTTTTCCAAGTTCCCATACCAATAAAATATTTTTGTTTTATACAGTTGTGATTCACTCTTACCCAGTTTTCTGGAATTGTTTCTGAGGCTTGTTAGATTCAAATCGAGAAGTTTTCTGTTTGTTTCTGATGTTTTAACATTATGTATCCTAGAAAATAATAGCCACAAGGGCATGATAATGATGTTTAATAAATAAACTTTAATATGCAAGGTTATTTTTAGTTGCTTTTTATATGTCAAGTACTTAATTTGTTTTAAAGTTGGAAAAGCATAGGTGTGATTGGAGGTAAACAAACATCAGCTACTTAAGTATTATTTATCTAGATATCATTTTTTAAAAAGCTTCAGAAATTGCTTGAAATAAAGTTTTTTCCTTGGTGGTGCTAGGAATTGGACCCATGGCCTTGTGTATGCTAAGCACATGCTCTACCACTGAGCTTTCCCAGCCTCAGATAAACTGTTTAAAAATCATTTATCAATCAGTTTATTTTTTCCAGATATCTTTTGGGAAGTTAGAACTTTATTTGACTTTTTGTTGTAAGTTTAGGACCCTTTCTAGTAGAAAATGAATCATCTTCAATAAAAGAAATTGATGGAAAGTTAATAGTCACTTTCTGTTTAACTTTAATATTTAGTTTCCCCAATTGTGTATCATTTAATTTTCTTTGTATGAATCCTTATGTTATCGTGTTAGTTTGAAGAAAACAGGAGGTTTGTCTGACTGATAGAATCCTGGGTCCCTAGTTCGTAGAGCACATTTAGCATATATTGAGCATGTAGTATCTATTTGGTGAATGAATGAATGAATTTCTTATTGACCTGGTTTTAAGAAACCTCCATCTGGTCTGCTTCTCTTCTGTATTTTATATATATAAAGAAATTTCGAATATATATACATAATGTGTAAAGGACAGCTTTCTGGCTGATATTTTCACTAGAGAAGATAGCAAATTTAATAAATAAATTAATTAATAGTTAAATTTGGAGGATCCTTAAGATCTTTGTGAGTCAAACAACAAATATGGAAGTGTATTGATTTCTATTAGCTGTCAGGCTCAGTGTTAATGCCTGGGAACAATGATGAACTAAGCACAATGCTTTCTCTCAAAAGAGATTTCAAGCAAAAGTCCTATAACTTCTGCTTGAAAGCATCTAATGAAGAACTCAGTATAGTAGGTGGCCATAAAATCCGGAAGCACAGGCAAATACATATAACAACTGGTTTAGAAATAATAAATTATTGGGCTGTGGCTGTGGCTCATTGGCAGAGTGCTTGCCTAACAGAGTGCTTGCCTAACACTGGGTTTGATCCTTAGCACCACATAAAATAAACAAATAAAATAAAGACATTTTGTTAAAAAGAAAAGAAATAAGCAAAAAATAATTTAAAAAAGAAATAACACATTATTGATTATTGCATCAAGCGTTCTCAATCTTGGCTCTATTGACATTTTAGACTAGATAACTTTTTGTTGTAGGGGCCTATCCTATACGTTGTATGATATTTAGCAGCATCTTTAGTTTCTCCCTGGTACAAGGCAGTAGCACCTATCCCTTGACCCTCTCCAGTCATGAAAACCAGCATGTTTTCAGATGCCCCCTAGGAGACAGAATCATTCTCATTTGGAAACCATTGTATTACATGGTATGTTCACTGGGTTGTCCCTCATTTGCATAGCTTCAAATGATTTGGGACCCTGATAAACCTGAACCTTTAACTTGGTGCAGAGTAGCAGTGAAAGAGTTCTGTCTGTTAAAAAAGTAAAATAATATCTGTATTTCAGAGCTTTACAACATCCTTATATTTTGAAGACAAATTACTTGGTAGATAGGCCTAATTTCTCTTCAACAAGATAGAATCATGTTCCTGTTGTTTCCAGTTCTGCAGTCTGCAGATGTTTAATCCTATGCTCCCGAGGTTTCTTTTTATTTTTATATAGCAATAGCATTGGAAATTATTTATTCTTTCAACTCTCTTTAATTTAAAAATTGTGTATGTGTTTTTTGGATTTGTTTTTATAGTTAAGCAATCTAAGTCCCAAATCTTGTAAAATAGTCACATGATTAGTGAATGGCCAATTAGAGTTAGTTCTAAGGTTTCTTGACATTTAGTCCAGTGTCTCTGTTCTTCAGTAGTGTGTTAGTTTGATGAAAACAGGAGGTTTGTCTTATTGATTGAACCTTGGATCTCTAGTTCCTAGAGCACATTCATCATATATTGAGCATATAGTACTATTTGCTGAAGGAGTGAATGGATTTCTTATTTGACTTGGTTTTAAGAAGCCTTCATGTTGTCTGCTTCTCTTCTGGAAAGACCAACCTAACAAAGATTTTAAAATTAAGATGACATGTTAAGATCTGACTTTAGTGTTCGAGATGTGGTATGATAATTGATGAAAGCTTTAACATGCTGTGTCTGGATTTCATGTTTCTGTTAATACAGTCTAAGATAGTATTATGTCTTATTGCCCTGATAATCATTTAAATTTTAACTTTTGTTTTCCGAACCTTGAGCCATAGCTGCTTCCTTATGCTTTTGTAGTGTTTATTAAAATTGAAATATCTGCCTCAGTCCTAATCATTTATATTTTCAAACCAAGACATTTTGCTTTCATAAAATTCAAGCCTCCTGATAATAAATGTTTAATAATTTTCACAAGTATGTATAATTTCTAGAGATTATTATTCTTAAAAAGGTTTTTGGCTCAGCAAATGCCTGTTACATCCCTGTAGTTCAGTCATATAGTCTTAAATTAACAAATGGTTTGGCTCCTGAAATCTCTGGTTTATGAAATTCTTCTTAGGCTTAATTGCCTCTCTTCTCTTCTTTGATCAGAACACACGTACCAGCTTGGATTTCTACTAATATTATACAATACAGAAGATAAATTAATAGGTGAAATTTTTTTCCTTTACATTTCTTATTAAAGAAGCATATATCTTCTTTATCAAGTTGTTTCTGACTAATGGTCATTAAATTAAAAAGTATTTGAATTGAATGTTTAAAGTTCAGATTAAGCAGCCATACTGGAACAAAATTTACATGCTAATACCTGATATTAAGAGATGATATAATTAAACTAATATCAACCTTATTTTGAAATGACCACGAAATAAGAAAAAAGTTTTGTTATCTGCCAGTTGTTCTCTGCTTGTGTTCCTATTCAGTGGTTGCATCAGGCAAAAGCGGTTTGATAGTTATACTTCATTATATCTACTCATAGTAAATAAATTTATTCAATGAAAGTTTCACCTTTGTCATAGAAAGACTATTATAGAACTGAAATATCAAAACTTACATATGCTTGGAGCGGAAGCTGCAAACTTTGGTTCTTTTGTTCTGACAAAAGAAAATTTAAAATTCAGATACCAAAAGCCATTCAAGAGAAACTTATTATAAGTTATTATAAGTAAAGTTATAAACTTATTATAAGTAAAGTTAAATTCAAACAAAGAGCACTCTAAAAAGAGAGTGGGTTGTCTGTGAGGAGGCAAAGGAACTGGTGTTGCTTCCAGATTTATTAGTTTGATGTTTGCCTGAAGAATTGGAGTCCACCTTTTTGCACTCAGCCAATCAGATGTTTAACTTTTCTTTCATGAGTTTTTTTTTAAGTTTTTATTTTTATATTTTTATTTTTTTAGTTGTAGTTGGATATAATACTTTTAATTTTATATATTTTTTATGTGGTGCTGAGGATCAAACCCAGGGCCTCGCACATGCTAGGCGAGTGCTCTACCGCTGAGCCACAACCCCAGCCCCCACCTCTTTCGTGAGCTTTTGACCCTACTGGTCCTCTCCAGAAATGTCAAGGTGGCCATTCTCTTTAAGGAAGCTTCATGTACAAGTCCTAGGTTACTGTGGATACTGGGGTCAACGGCTGGTCAGAACTTACATTAGTGTGCCTGTGTTATCAAAGAAACCTCCTTTCTGAAATGTATGGAGATACTTAATGCCATAACTCCTAGCTTTACTTTGACCTCAGTGGACCCTGTGAAGACTTAGTCCCATTAACCCTTCTTTCTTGATGTATATCCCCATTTAATTTTTTTGTTTTTATTTGCTTATTCATAAGTTCTGTGTATCTAATGTCTTTCTGTAGGTTATCTGCCTCAAGTTATTTGCCCATCTGTCTTGGAAGGAATTTAAAACAACTTTAAAAGTAACTTAAAGAACACTCATAACCTGGCTATGCACTTGACTGCTTATTACTGTTACTTAAACTCCTTGATCTCAGGTTAAATACTTTGACTTATAATGAAAATATATAAATAGTTCTGCAAGAGCTAACACAAACCAGAATTTATTAAATAGTTGGTAAACATTTGCCTTGGGGTTATAAATATAAAAGCAAATAGTATTTGTAAGTTTTGATATTTCAGTACTATAATAGTCTTGAGCATAAATATGTTAAATAGCTATTCTCCCCGGATTACAGGATCAAAATCCTTCAGTGTTCTTGGGAACAATAATAAATGCAGTTTTCACACTCTTTGAGAGCTGTTGCTGTGTTGTAGATATTCATTTCTATGTTTTAACTTTGAAAGAAGACAGCATGTTTACTTGGATATTTTTATTATGGTTGGATACATGCTGCTTAGTCTACTATCTGCTTATTTGCATATATGCTCACATTAAAGGCATCCAGATATTTTTGTATTCTTTTAAAGGAAAAAAAGGAAATGTTTTATAAGAACAGAAAGGTGACATTGAATGTAGGATATAAATATTGGAGTTTTGGTTGAATAACATCTGTATTTCATAATTTTAGTTTACCGTGATATCTCTGAAATTGAAACACATTTTCCATGATTTTTTTTTCAGACTCCAGCTCCTTCACTCTTTTTTTTTTAAATGTATTTTATTTTATTTTAAAGTTATAGAGAGAGAGGGGGGAGAGAGAGAGAGAGAATATTTTTAATATTTATTTTTTAGTTTTCGGCGGACACAACACAGCACCACCTTTGTTTGTATGTGGTGCTGAGGATCGAACCCGGGTCGAATGCATGCCAGGCAAGCGTGCTACCGCTTGAGCCACATCCCCAGCCCTCATCTGACTTTCTTGATAAATATAACGTTATTTAACTTTCTCTATTTTTTAGTTTTTGGCGGACACAACATCTTTGTTTGTATGTGGTGCTGAGGATCGAATCTGGGCTGCATTCATGCTAGGCAAGCGCGCTACCACTTGAGCCACATCCCCAGCCCATGATTTGATTTTTTAAAAAAAATATTTATTTCTTAGCTGTACACAATACCTTTATTTTGTTTATTTATTTTTATGTGGTACTGAGGATCGAACCCAGGGCCTAGCACGTGCTAGGTGAGCGCTCTACTGCTGGGCCCCAGCCCCAGCCCCATGATTTTATTTTTTTTCAGAGAGTTCTTTTTATAGATGTTCTTTAGGCAAAATACATGTATTCTGTAATTTGAAAGAGATGGAATGCTATTGAAGTAAAAGAAAAACTAGACAATTAAATCTTTAATTACAGATATAGTCTATGTAGCATATTTCATCAATTCTGAACACTTATTTTTACTTTTCTGGGAAATTTACCTAAAGTTGCAGGCGTGTTTTGCTTTGTATGGTGTCTTATAATTGACGGTGGCCTTTTGTTTCTTTTGGTACAGCAAATGATGTTAATGTTGAATCTACAAAATATCTGTGTGTGTGTGTGTGTGTGTGTGTGTGTGTGTATTAAGTGTTTGCTGAACGAGTTGCCTAGTGTGTGTGTATTTGTGAAAGCCATAGACCAAAAATTTCTCCCAATGTTTTCATGTTTTGGAAACTTGTTTTTTATATAGGAGTTAACCTGATATTAAACCTTTAGCATTTTAATAGATTTTCATTAAATCTTACTAGATTAATGATATATGAATAATATAAATGATATCAAAATAATTTCCAGATTTAAAAACAATACTATTTTATGGTTTATATTTAGTGTTTCTAGGGCTGGGGTTGTAGCTCAGTGGTAGAGTGCTTGCCTCCCATGCGTGAGGCCCTGGGTTCGATCCTCAGTACCACATTAAAAAAACAAATAAAAATAAAGATATTATGTCCACTTACAACTAAAAAAAAATTTTAATTTCTAATAATAACACACATTTGATGGTATAAAAATATGTCTATAAGTCTGTTTTGTAAAGCTTTTTAGAATGAATGAATTCCTCCCCCTAGCCC